TGTGTGCTACATACAGCAGGGTGCGTGTGTGCTACATACAGCAGTGTGCGTGTGTGCTACATACAGCAGGGTGCGTGTGTGCTACATACAGCAGGGTGCGTGTGTGCTACATACAGCAGGGTGCGTGTGTGCTACATACAGCAGTGTGCGTGTGTGCTACATACAGCAGGGTGCGTGTGTGCTACATACAGCAGTGTGCGTGTGTGCTACATACAGCAGGGTGCGTGTGTGCTACATACAGCAGGGTGCGTGTGTGCTACATACAGCAGTGTGCGTGTGTGCTACATACAGCAGGGTGCGTGTGTGCTACATACAGCAGGGTGCGTGTGTGCTACATACAGCAGTGTGCGTGTGTGCGTCTTTTAATAGAAAAGAAGAAATAGTCATCATTACTAGTTTAGAAGAAATGATAAAAGCATACATTCATGGCATGAAAAGCTATAAACTTTGCTAGTAGACCAGTGGGTCTGATTAGTAGGTTGTTCAATTAATCGTATGATTTTCCAACTTAAGTTACTTGTATTTCAATGATATGAAATGCCCATCAAGCCGTTTTCTGAGCATCTTCTTCTAAGCAGAAATAACATCTTGGTTAAGATATTTGCAAATAGTTACGTAACGCAAGTTGATCAATACTACTTCTATAGATGTGCCCGCTCTATGAAAAATAGGTACATCCATCATTTTAAACAACAATAATTGGATACATGTATATATAACTAGTTATTTTTCTGATTGATAAATATTTTTTTTTTTTTTTAAGTTTTCAGGTCATTGTTCAAGAGATTAAGATTTCCATGCTCAGAATAGTGGACTTTTGTTATATTAACAGACTGCATCTAGCTGTGCTACAGGTCGACGTACAGAATCCAGAGACACTGGGCATATCCTTAGACATTTTTTATGATAATTCCAGAGAACATCGGAGTTACAGAGACGCTTGAAGTAGTGTCATCTACAAGGGGAATAACTCCTGAGGCCTTACACACTGAGTAGTCCTTGCACATATATTACAACTATGTCATTTTTTTAAGTTAAGGCAAAAACTTCATGCAAGGATGTTCTCACCGTTAGACTCGGTTACGTTTGTAACTTATCCTTCCAAAATTAGAATCATATAAGTGGATCACATTCGTAAAAGATATAAAAATCTTTCTAATAAAATATTGCAGAAATGGGTATGTCATTCAACTTTGACCAAAACTAGGCAAACTTCAACACAACTAGCCTAAATTAGTTATTTGAAGCTTAATTAGTTTTTGTACATGGATGCACCTATACTATATGGAAATAAAATTTAATTTGTTATTTTTAAAAGTAAATTACAGTCAAATGAATTTGATTCTAAAACACATTGAAACATATAGGTCAGTATTTTTTTGATGCAGTTGAAAACTTTTGGCAAATCTCTGCTGTTTTATACATGTCTATTGTAAAACAAAATGTGGATATTTCACTCAAAGGAAGGTTAGAAATGTATTTTTTTTTATTTTCTAAATCTACTAGAAGTCTTCTTTATGAAAATGATAGACTTTTTTTTACAACAATTGCGAAACAAGTTTTTTTTTAATTTATACTAATCACTTGCTGGCCCGGATCGAAGCACGAGAGGGGCATTACTATGGGAAGAAACCAGAGTACCCTGGAAAAACTACGTGGTCGGGCAGGTGACCCCATACCTTTTCACATCCATTCCGGGAATCGAACCCAGGACGGCTAGGTCAAGGGCCCTTCGGGTGATCTCTTCCAGATCTGTGGTGGCTTCAGACGTGTCTTCTTTACCAGAATCATACGTAGACACGATCTTCTCCAATTCTGTGGTGACTTCAGACGTGTCTTCTTTACCAGTCTCCTACCTAGGCACGATCTTCTCCAGTTCTGATGTGATTTCAGACGTGTCTTCTTTACGAGTCTCGTACCTAGGCACGATCTTCTCCAGTTCTGATGTGATTTCAGACGTGTCTTCTTTACGAGTCTCGTACGTAGACACGATCTTCTCCAGATCTGTGGTGGCTTCAGACGTGTCTTCTTTACGAGTCTCGTACGTAGACACGATCTTCTCCAGTTCTGTGGTGACTTCAGACGTGTCTTCTTTACCAGTCTCCTACCTAGGCACGATCTTATCCAATTTTGTGGTGATTTCAGACGTGTCATCTTTACCAGACTCGTACGTAGACACGATCTTCTCCAGTTCTGTGGTGATTTCAGACGTGTCTTCTTTACCAGTCTCCTACCTAGGCACGATCTTCTCCAGTTCTGTGATGATTTCAGACGTGTCTTCTTTACCAGTCTCGTACCTAGGCACGATCTTCTCCAGTTCTGATGTGATTTCAGACGTGTCTTCTTTACCAGTCTCCTACCTAGGCACGATCTTCTCCAGTTCTGTGGTGACTTCAGACGTGTCTTCTTTACCAGTCTCCTACCTAGGCACGATCTTCTCCAGTTCTGATGTGATTTCAGACGTGTCTTCTTTACCAGTCTCGTACCTAGGCACGATTTTCTCCAGTTCTGATGTGATATCAGACGTGTCTTCTTTACCAGTCTCGTACCTAGGCACGATCTTCTCCAGTTCTGTGGTGATTGCAGACGTGTCTTCTTTACCAGTCTCGTACCTAGACAGAATCATATCATGTCCTGTGGTGTTTTCAGACGTGTCTTCTTTACCAGTCTCGTACCTAGGCACGATCTTCTCCAGTTCTGATGTGATTTCAGACGTGTCTTCTTTACCAGTCTCCTACCTAGGCACGATCTTCTCCAGTTCTGTGGTGATTGCAGACGTGTCTTCTTTACCAGTCTCGTACCTAGACAGAATCATATCATGTCCTGTGGTGTTTTCAGACGTGTCTTCTTTACCAGACACTATGGTGACTTCTGACGTCTATTTAGTGATATTAGGGAATAAACTGGTTTGTCATATAGAGCTTCTGCCCCCTATTTCACAGTCAAGATATCAGGAATGTTGTCGATGTAAACTCGCTGTTCAAGTTACTTGATGTAATTAAAATTCTAATTCTGGTAATGGTGAAACTGTGTGTAAGTTATGTTAGTGTTTTAGTGTGAGACCATTTGTTTTGGATGACGTCATGAGAACAAGGCTAAGACCGAGTATATATGTACAAGAAAGGTCGACACATATCGTTGTTATCAATTTGATTTATCAGGTTTTGAAATTGGTAGATGTCTATATGATAAACAGGTTTTTTTTTCATTGAATAGATTCTGCGTCTGGTTAGTCATTCAGTATTTTCGTCTGACAAGGCTCCTCAGTCTACTTCATTTTGGTGAGGAAGTAACGTGCTAGTAATTGAGTGTATGATTTCAGCCTCGCAATCCTCATACACCTGCTGTACTGCTCCTTGGTATTTATTGCTGCTGTACCTGACGAGCTTAGTTTCCCTCCCGCCATTGCTATGTGGCAATTTTACTGCTCACGTGACATACATCTATCAGGGGGTCTCAGAAGGTTGCTGATTATTTTGTGAACCGTAAATAAATTATATAATATCAAATAAAAATGAAATGACTGGAAATTATCAGCTATTATAGCTAGCAAAAACGAACATGTGAGTCGTGTTTACAATAACGTATACCTGATTACTTCCCTTGATAATCTCTCTATTTATCGTTCATAATTACTTGTCTGTTAGAGTTACCGCTCTTATGCTTTCAGGATAAAGCCTTTTTTTATGTCTGGTGTTTGTCCCCTATCCCATTTTGGTTTATGATAAAATTGTTGGCAAATCAAATCACCCCTCGTCCGAAGTCCGTCGTCTGTCCTGATTTTGATGTGAGATATTTCGTATACCAAGGGTTCTGTTTACAGTTAACATTATACTGAATGGCAATTAGGTCTGATCAAGTCTAAATGTCTAATAACGTGTAATGTGTATATTGTTTGTTACCACTACTATACCGCGTTCTGTGTTGTGACTTGTCTGTTACCACTACTATACCGCGTTCTGTGTTGTCACTTGTCTGTTATCATTACTATACCGCGTTCTGTGTTGTCACTTGTCTGTTACCACTACTATACCGCGTTCTGTGTTGTCACTTGTCTGTTACCACTACTATACCACATTCTGCTGTCGTATATTGTCTGTTACCACTACTATACCGCGTTCTGTGTTGTCACTTGTCTGTTACCACTACTATACCGCGTTCTGTGTTGTCACTTGTCTGTTACCACTACTATACCGCGTTCTGTGTTGTCACTTGTCTGTTACCACTACTATACCGCGTTCTGTGTTGTCACTTGTCTGTTACCACTACTATACCGCGTTCTGTGTTGTCACTTGTCTGTTACCACTACTATACCGCGTTCTGTATTGTCACTTGTCTGTTACCACTACTATACCGCGTTCTGTGTTGTCAGTTGTCTGTTACCACTACTATACCGCGTTCTGTGTTGTCACTTGTCTGTTACCACTACTATACCGCGTTCTGTGTTGTCACTTGTCTGTTACCACTACTATACCGCGTTCTGTGTTGTCACTTGTCTGTTACCACTACTATACCGCGTTCTGTGTTGTCACTTGTCTGTTACCACTACTATACCGCGTACTGTATTGTCACTTGTCTGTTACCACTACTATACCGCGTTCTGTGTTGTCAGTTGTCTGTTACCACTACTATACCGCGTTCTGTGTTGTCACTTGTCTGTTACCACTACTATACCGCGTTCTGTGTTGTCACTTGTCTGTTACCACTACTATACCACATTCTGCTGTCGTATATTGTCTGTTACCACTACTATACCGCGTTCTGTGTTGTCACTTGTCTGTTACCACTACTATACCGCGTTTTGATTTATAGATTGTCTGTTATTACTATTATACCGCATTCTGTTGTGCATTTTGTCTGTAAGTACAACTATACCGCGTTATCCTGGACGTTGTGTTCATATTGGTACAAAGGTTTCGACTCTGAGCATCAGTATCACTGTGCATTTTTTCAATGAACAGAATAGCATCGTAATTATTTTATATCAAAATATAAGTTACCTGATAGACACTTGTTACTCCAAGGTTGTAAAAGACTGGTATATATATATGAGCAGCTAATCCGATAGTGAAGAAATAGCCAAGTCCAATCCAAAAGTAGGAGGTCGTGTAGTTGTACATCTCGGCTGGCGTCCCTAGTAACGTAATGGCGGACATGAAACTGGCCAGGAGGGACAAGGCTACAGGAGTGGCGCTCATGTTCCCTCCCGCTAATAGGAAATCCTTGGTGTTCTGATTCTTTCTGTCTTTGATGGCGTAAAATAGACCGATGCTTGCGGAGACACAGAGTAGTAGGGCGAACAGAACATAATCCACCACTCCGAAAGTGTTTCTTTCTCCTGTCTCAAAACTGTATCTCCTCTCATCGTCCATGCTTCGGTTTGAAATTCTTCGTTCCTAAGTTTTACAGTTCGAATTATAATTTAGTTGGTGTTCTTATTGAGAAATGAATCTCACATGGTACTAAATGTTCAGAAAGGTCGCAATACGTTTCCCAAAAATTGTATAATAGTTGAAGATTATTCCCTCTACACCCTGAGTTGCGCCTGTTGGTACTGTGTAATAGCGACACTCGGCTTAGTTTTCTACGGACGGTTTACATACGGTACAGGCGTTTGACATACACGGCAGCAATCTAATCACTGAAGACATGAATAGTGTACACATGTTTTGTCGAGCCGTACACAAGGTACTGTATACTGTAAATAAGTTCGTTAGGTAACGTCTCTGAACAGGAAAAAGCCCCCTGTAAATAAGATGGATATACTCTATCACAGGATGAATACAGATGGTCATAACAGAAAAATAAAGAGACAGCGAAGTAGGACAAATATAGAATCTTAAATGTATTTTCATTTCATAAAATCTTATATGTTTTCACATTACGAAAATTTTACTGATTTTAAAGTCAAACTGTGGAGAACTTCAAACGGTGGAAGCCATTTAGCTTTGCCATGTCCAAGTGGTTGTCCTTACTCTGACGTCACAAGCGATTTCTGACTGGCGCTACCAATGAAAAACGCTCCTGGATATATCACACTAGTTCCTGACGTCACAAGCGATTTCTGACTGGCGCTACCAATGAAAAACGCTCCTGGATATATCACGCTAGTTCTATATTCACTGTAATGTCGGAATACATCTACCACATACATTTTTGCTGTGTTCGGCAGAGACAGAAAACAGCCGTATAGAAGCAAGTGCTAAATTCAACAGAAATACTTTTTGAATTTACTGAAATGTCACGTTTAACAACATAAATCACTGTTGAAATAAGCGATATTATATATATTGTAATGAACAAGTTTATCTAGGAAAATTCATAAAATCAATGCCTTATCCGTTGAAGTTTGGAATGTGTAAAATAATTATGATAATGATATAAAAATAACCTTGTCATCGTCATGCGTTTTTCAAAGTACGTCACGCCTTTCTATAAACGATACATTTAGAAGATTATCTAGGCTGTTGTGTGTACATTGTACGTTCGACTGGTGACCTAGGTAATACATGTACATTACCTATATCCATTTACATGCACGTGATTCCATCTGTGAGACTTACACGTGTAATATTTGCTGACTGATAACTTCCTTTGTTCAGTGCGCCCACAACATATTTCCTCGTAATTCCATTATGTTCTGACAATGTCGGCATACCTTTGTCGGGGCACTCACTTTTCTCCCATCGTTCTTGACTCATTTGTCACCTTTTTTCTTGGCTGCATCTAAAACATCTGATCTGGGATGCCGTAACTCCTCCGTCTGCCACCAGGTGAACCAGTGCAGTTAAAGATCGTAGGGGACTTTTCCCATGGATTCCTATTCTTATCGATTAGATGGTTTTAAGAAATTGAGAAAAAAATGTAAGCTGTTATGTACTTGTTTGTAAATGTTTACATACAGTCTGACTTCACATATTTTCAATAAACAAAAACTATAGATAAACATTTATTGGTAGATCATTGTGAAATAGCGACTGGTTCTCGTCCAACATTTGCTGGGACAAGTATCATTATAAAGAAGAACACTTGTATGGTTGAAAAGATAACTTCCATTCATTATATATTTTTTTCTCATTCAACTTTTCTTATTCTTCATCTTTTCAACCAAGAAAATTTCAATTTTACAAAGAATCTAAAAGAAGGTGTCCTTAAGCATCAAAACTAAATCTAGACATAACAATAGTAATGTGTTTGTTACAAAATAATGAAGCTTACTAGATTCTATTGCACTCCTAAACAATATCACACACACACACACACACACACACACAAGTAAACGACAAAGTGGCACAAATTTATTGTTGCCTGTCTAGACTTGGTGATCTCCTTAAACAAAATGGTCTCTGATTAATATAAGTGATACAAAAGTAATATATTTAAATACATTCAAAGAAAAAATTCCAAGTTTAAATACCTTGATTTCATTTTCATTTCTCAGCATTCACACAAAATTTAAACGCAAATTATGAAAAAAATATTGAATCGCCTTGACAACAACCTCTACCACTAGACAAAATGGTCTGAGAAAAGCAATGCTGAGTAACACTCAATTAAGCAGTCTTAGTTAAAGTGAAATTATCTCTTTTCACAAAATAGCCAACATTAAAATTGTCAAAAAACCTTCTCAAGAAAACTCTATGATATACATAGAATCGAAAGCTTTCTCAAATAGTATTTTTATGTTCAGCCTTAACTAAAATGCCGTGGAGTTGTCAATTTTTTCTCCACTAAACATGCCTTCAGGAATAAACTTAATACTTTCTGCAAATTCATTTGATAATATTTCATAACAAACATTTAAAAGCGAAATTGTTTTTTTTAACATTATCTACCTTTGGGCGATATATATATATATCACACCTTACTTTTGTGTATAGGACAGGGTTTTTTTTTAGTTTTTTTTTTTTTTTTTTTTACTTTTGATCGATTTTGCAGCCTTCTCAAGTGTGATTGACTAATCCAATTCATTTTTACAAACATCATTTCAGGATTTGTAATATATCATACACCTTCGAATGTCGACTTACTTCATAAAGCATCGTCATCTCTTTTTCAGTCATCTGACAGTGAAATCAGACGTCTTCGCTTCAAAAACAACTTTTTATGGCATGTACGCGATTTAACTTCGATGTTGTGATAAAGTGATCTTAATGTGACCGACATTTGACTCGAGAAAACGGAAATTGTCCACACACCTTTATAAATATGTCAAAAGTGGTGAAAACTCGGCGTTGATCCGCTCGTAAAAATCAGTAAATCAATTTCCATTTCAAACGCGAAAATGGTGGCTTGATAACGATAAGGACAGCACACAAGTAAGTCAGTAGAAAATGATCTAACTCACTCTTTAGGTTGAATCGCATACGTCACGTGAAAGTGTTTTAAAACTAATTTTTAGGGATTCGTTGTCTGATATCGCTGCCAGATGAGTGACCGACTAACTGAAATCTGACAACTTGAGGATGTTTGATGAAGTCTGGCGACAGTTGCATGGCGAGATACGTGTATTTGACGAGTCATACACCAAAAGTATCCGTCCATTCAGAACACTCAAGGGATATCCTAGATAGTTAAGTGATAATCACTAGTTTCCAGAAACTGGATCGTTTCGCTAGACCGCTGGACTTAGCCACCTTCAGTACCTAGAGCTATAGTGACTTGTTTGCGAAGGATGAAACAGCTATATGATGCAGTTGATTGTTTGGCTCTACCGTATCTAACTCTAAATTTGTATAAAAAAAAAATAAAGACGCACAAGTGTATAGAAAAAGCACTTATATGTCTTTTGTAAAATCTTTCGTATGATCTTTCATGACCTATTAAAACCATTGTTCTTCCTTACATATCTTAATTGGCAAAACTTGACTTATGCGGTCCTCCAATCATTCCAACGGGTCCAACCATATGTTGGTACATTAGTAAACACAAACTATTGAACCACTAATCTAGTTGATATTTGTCACATAGCCAGATCCTGATGTTCCTAGGATAATAAATTTAAAAGTTTAACCTGTTGGGTCATTTTGTTATATAAATACTATTTCATTAGAAACAGCTACAAACCACGTGCTTTATTTATGTAGAACTTAGATTTAGAAATTTGATATATCGTCCTGACCCGACCTGATCAATAAACTTATCAATCCGTAAGATTATCTTTACAAAGTTTGTAAAAAAAACCCTACAGAAATAATAGCTACATAGATGTGAAATGTACATCTTCTTTTATATTCTTTATATTCATATTAACATATTACATGTACTTACATAATGTTCTAATGGCTTACACCACGAATAAACTGAGTTTACACATTTCGTAAACCCGGTAACCAATGTAAACAACAAAACAGTGATCTCTGAGTATTATCAGAATTCAGAAAAAGTTAAAATGACATAGACTATTTTATACAGTATCGCTTTAATTATATTATGACGATTAAAATACTTGGATTTCTGTCGTTTTATGATATACTCCAAAGAATTCTAAATCCTTGATTGAATGATTAGAGATGTGTAAATGGAGGGTGAGAATTTTTGTCGTCACCGGAAGGGACATATGCTTGGTTGTTGACGCCATTTTCTGCCTGGTACATCTGTCTAACATTTTCCTTGTTCACAGAAAATTCCAAATCATTGGCAGGCTCATCATCAACAACCTGCCAATCAATAAAAAGACGGTAAGCGGTAAACGGAAATTCCAAATCCAAAAACAATTGATTCTTAATATATGTGTATAAAATTTTAACGATGTAATAGGAGTTCAAACATTAAAAAGTGAAAGGAGAAGAATAACCTGATCGTGACGGACACCAAACCACAGACGTCTCCTCCATCTCTCGGGAAGGAACGGCATCAACACATCAAATATAGGACAGATTAGTCTCGGGTCGAGGGACTTGGGATCAGTCCGACCTAAAGAAGTGGATGTTGATGACTCATTGAATAACAGTGAGAATGAAATACGAGACAATCGTTACAGTGACGTTGATCACTCGCTCTACAACAGTGAAAACGCCATACGAGACAATCGTTACAGTGACGTTGATCACTTGCTCTACAACAGTGAGAACGCCATACGAGACAATCGTTACAGTGACGTTGATCACTCGCTCTACAACAGTGAGAACGCCATACGAGACAATCGTTACAGTGACGTTGATCACTCGCTCTACAACAGTGAGAACGCCATACGAGACAATCGCTACAGTGGTGTTGATCACTCGCTCTACAACAGTGAGAACGCCATACGAGACAATCGTTACAGTGACGTTGATCACTCGCTCTACAAGAGTGAGAACGCCATACGAGACAATCGTTACAGTGATGTTGATCACTCGCTCTACAGGAGTGAGAACGCCATACGAGACAATCGTAACAGTGATGTTGATCACTCGCTCTACAACAGTGAGAACGCCATACGAGACAATCGTTACAGTGACGTTGATCACTCGCTCTACAACAGTGAGAACGCCATACGAGACAATCGTTACAGTGACGTTGATCACTCGCTCTACAACAGTGAGAACGCCATACGAGACAATCGTTACAGTGACGTTGATTACCCTGTTATTTTGAGACAATCGTACCTGTGATGTCGATTACCCTGTTATTTTGAGACAATCGTACCTGTGATTTTTATTACTCTGCTTTTGAGACAACCGTACCTATGACTTTTATTATTCTGTTTTTGAGACAATCGTACCTGTGATTTTTATTACTTTATGTTTTTGAGACAATCATACCTGTGATGTCGATTACACTGTTATTTTGAGACAATCGTACCTGTGATGTCGATTACACTGTTATTTTGAGACAATCGTACCTGTTATGAAGCTGACGATGAGACCCAGACCGATGACAAAGATCATGGCGGTGGCACTGTACCACAGGTAAGACAGCGAATATAGCCTGATCAGCAAATCCCTGTAGATTTTTAAAAGTGGAAAGAGATCAACTCATAACCCAAGGTTTATCGTAAAACGCCTCTTTAACAAAAACACAAAAGTTTATTAACTAATCACAGGACACAGAGGCCAGTTTTATCATTTTTAGCAGCCGAAGGAAAACCAACAGATGTAATCAGCTTAATCTACGAAACATGGAGCGAGAGCTCGCCCCTTTATTCATGAAAAATACACATTAGATAATTATTAGTAAAACTTATTTCATATAACAGACTGACCAAAACAACAGGGCACCTATACTTACGTGCTGGTGTCCGCTGGTGTCGTTACAGCTACTTCCGTTGTTGTGACGATAGCGGAAGTGACGCTGGCTGCGGTGGTAGTCAGGTTCCAGTTACATCCGGTCACATTGGTCACCGAGAAAGTGGATACTTTGGGTTTTTGGATCTGGTAACCAATACTGATCCATAACATAAACGCCAAGCTGGTAACCATACCTGTAATGGCTCCCTGAAAGTAATAAAGCAGTATGGTCACTCGAGTTGTGCTACAATGTAATTCATATTTTGATTTCCTGATACGTACGAAATATTTTACTAAAACTAATAGAGTAAATTAAATACACTGATAGAAAAAGAGTATCATTTTCGTGACGTCACATCCCACGAATCAGTTTTGGTACAAGCTTGAGTGTAAGTATATTTTGATAAAATGCAGTTTGTTCCCTTTTACAAAGATTCAGGTAAACAGAGTCATTACAATTCACTGTAGAGCGATTTTATAAATATAGGCATTCTTTTTAAAACGGTCGTCGCGGGGCCAAGTTGGATTTCAGATCGGCCCGAAAAATGCAAACACTTCATTGAATAAGAGGAGTTACATAATCATATCCTTTTATCCGCATTTATCAGTTCCACACGTACATATTACCTTCTGATTCGCCCAAGGAAACAACATTCCGAGTGTAAACACGCCTAGTAACGGTCCTCCAATCACACCAAACAGCGCCAACGCTGCCTACAATTACAGCAGATTTGTCCAGTAAGTACTGTTTATCAGACACTTAGTACAGTGTATGTTTCAGAATGTTATCCCTGTATACTAACACATAACATCTTATAGGTTCACTAAGTCTACAATGCTATAACAATTATACATATTTACCTCTGAAGTCGTCAGAAGACAATTAAACTTACCCTGCTTTAACCGCACAAGTCAGGACAGGAAAAAGAAATTTAAACATGACTTTCTACCCAGAGGAAAACGTTAACCAACTAGTCGCCAAAAGAAACGATCATTTTACCCGGACAATTTTACCCTGTCGCCAAAAGAAACGATCATTTTACCCGGACAATTTTACCCTGTCGCCAAAACAAACGATCATTTTACCCGGACAATTTTACCCTGTCGCCAAAAGAAACGATCATTTTACCCGGACAATTTTACCCTTTCGCCAAAAGAAACGATCATTTTACCCGGACAATTTTACCCTTTCTCCAAAAGAAACGATCATTTTACCCGGACAATTTTACCCTTTCGCCAAAAGAAACGATCATTTTACCCGGACAATTTTACCCTGTCGCCATAAGAAACGTTCATTTTACCCGGACAATTTTACCCTGTCGCCTAAAGAAACGATCATTTTACCCGGACAATTTTACTCTGTCGCCAAAAGAAACGATCATTTTACCCGGACAATTTTACTCTGTCGCCTAAAGAAACGATCATTTTACCCGAACAATTTTACTCTGTCGCCAAAAGAAACGATCATTTTACCCGGATAATTTTACCCTTTCGCCAAAAGAAACGATCATTTTACCCGGATAATTTTACCCTTTCGCCAAAAGAAATGTTCATTTTACCCGGACAATTTTACTCTGTTGTCAAATGAAACGATAATTTTATCTCATAGTCACAAGAAACAATCATTTTAACCTGATCATTTCACCTAGTCGTCACAGGAAAAGCAAATTTACTGCATAAAAAGGTAGGCATAGGAAACAGAAAAAAGAATAGCTGTTGGACACCTCGGAATGCCATGGACTCACCTGTAGGACATCTCGGAATGCCATGGACTCACCTGTAGGACATCTCGGAATGCCATGGACTCACCTGTAGGAAACCTCGGAATGCCATGGACTCACCTGTAGGACATCTCGGAATGCCATGGACTCACCTGTAGGACATCTCGGAATGCCATGGACTCACCTGTAGGACATCTCGGAATGCCATGGACTCACCTGTAGGACATCTCGGAATGCCATGGACTCACCTGTAGGACATCTCGGAATGCCATGGACTCACCTGTAGGACACCTCCAAGTAGTGAAGCTACATAGGTTAATCCGATGCAGATAAATCCAAATAGGATAGCTGTTAAAGACAAGTGTAGTTGATATCTTGTAAAACGTTCCACATGTCATCATTTCCTATATACATGTCAGGTAACATTTCCATTCTTCTGTTTGGAATTAGTTATTACTTTAAGAAAATATAAACGAACATCTTGTAATACTTACCGATGATTTTTGAAGCAAACGTAGCTTTAAGTTCGGACAACTCTTTAAAACAGAACAATTTTACACAATCCTCCAGTATGACTGCGGCTATGGAGTTTAAACCGGAAGACAGCGTGCTGTAAAAGACGTGGGTTTAGATGTTTATATTAAAGCTGTTCTGGCGTGTCAGAACTATATGTTCCAATTTACCTGAGGAAACATAAGTCGCTGTATTTCCATCATTCTGAATATCAGTTAAGGTTATTTATCTTACCAACAACTCGACAATGTGTTATTTCTATCATCAATACCACTTCCACATCTTCGTCCGACCGTGAAAACGGTCATTAAAACATACAGAGAACAAAATAAAAATACGTAATTAAGACATACTGAGGATGAAATCATTTTTGAGGTTGACTATGAGTTTGGTGGTCAACAATAAGTTTTTTTTATATCTCTGATTACAAAACACAGCACACAACTCTTTTGATAAAACTGTATTTTAGGTGACAAGGTTTACAAGGCACGTGTAGTTTACCTGAGTGCTCCACTGAAGAGACAGGACACGAACAGACCAGGAATACCCGGTATATGACCAAGAACATCCATCACAAAGAGGGGAAGTAACTGTAGCACAAAACATAGAATCAACATTAGATATTGACTGTCAGGTGTAAGAGGTATAGTGTTTTATGATTACAATACAGACAATGTCCGAAATCTTGACCACTGGCGAGGCTGTCTCACCTGACCTGAAATGATGGCGATTCCGAGCGAGGCTGTCTCACTTGAACTAAAGTAATGGCGATTCCGAGCGAGGATGTCTTACCTGACCTGAAATGATGGCGATTCCGAGCGAGGCTGTCTTACCTGACCTCAAGTGATGGCGATTCCGAGCGAGGCTGTCTTACCTGACCTGAAATGATGGCGATTCCGAGCGAGGCTGTCTTACCTGACCTGAAATGATGGCGATTCCGAGCGAGGCTGTCTTACCTGACCTCAAGTGATGGCGATTCCGAGAGAGGCTGTCTTACCTAATCCGAAATGATGGCGATTCAAACGAGACTGTTTTACCTGACCTCAAGTGATGGCGATTCCGAGAGAGGCTGTCTTAGCTAATCCGAAATGATGGCGATTCAAACGAGACTGTTTTACCTGACCACAAGTGATGGCGATTCCGAGAGAGGCTGTCTTACCTAATCTGAAATGATGGCGATTCAAACGAGACTGTTTTACCTGACCTCAAGTGATGGCGATTCCGAGAGAGGCTGTCTTACCTAATCTGAAATGATGGCGATTCAAACGAGACTGTTTTACCTGACCTGAAATGATGGCGATTCCGAGCGAGGCTGTCTTACCTGACCTCAAGTGATGGCGATTCCGAGCGAGGCTGTCTTACCTGACCTGAAATGATGGCGATTCCGAGCGAGGCTGTCTTACCTGACCTGAAATGGTGGCGATTCCGAGAGAGGCTGTCTTACCTAATCTGAAATGATGGCGATTCAAACGAGACTGTTTTACCTGACCTGAAATGATGGCGATTCCGAGCGAGGCTGTCTTACCTGACCTCAAGTGATGGCGATTCCGAGCGAGGCTGTCTTACCTGACCTGAAATGATGGCGATTCCGAGCGAGGCTGTCTTACCTGACCTGAAATGATGGCGATTCCGAGCGAGACTGTTTTACCTGACCTCAAGTGATGGCGATTCCGAGAGAGGCTGTCTTAGCTAATCCGAAATGATGGCGATTCAAACGAGACTGTTTTACCTGACCTCAAGTGATGGCGATTCCAAGAGAGGCTGTCTTACCTAATCTGAAATGATGGCGATTCAAACGAGACTGTTTTACCTGACCTCAAGTGATGGCGATTCCAAGAGAGGCTGTCTTACCTAATCTGAAATGATGGCGATTCAAACGAGACTGTTTTACCTGATGTGAAGCACTGATGAATCCAAGGGAGGTAGTTCTACCTGATCTGATGCGAGTGATTAAGTCTTACCAGATTGGAAGCGCTCATGCGTCCGAGCAAGTCAGCCTAACCTGATCTGATACAACGTTATTCCGAGCAAGTCAGCCTTACCAGATCTGAAAAAACGTTATTCCAAGCAAGTCAGTCTTACCTGATCTAAAACAAGGACTTTTCCGAGCAAGTCAGTCTTACCTGATCTGAAACAACTTTATTCCGAACAAGTCAGCCTTACCTGATCTGAAACAACGTTATTCCGAGCAAGCCAGCCTTCCCTGATCTGAAACAACGATTATTCTTACCTGATCTGAAGCGCTGATTAGTCCGAATGATTTTGGATCACATGTTTCATAAAAAGCATATATAACGGTTCCAATGAGACAGCAGAGGATGAGTATTATACAGAGACCCGGGAAGTTAAACCAGTAGGCACTGTAAGTATAGACAATATACATATTACAATTCTAGATCCACCACACAATTATACGTGGTTGATGACTTATGAAAATCAATACCATTTTGAACTCGCTGTCTTCATTCATCAAAGCCTAATTTAAATACTATAAATTCTATTATCAAGCCTGTCTATTAAGCTATCCTCCTTGATATTGCATAGATCGGTGAAGTTAATGTAGGGCATGGACAAAATGACGGGACAACACAGGTAGTACAGACACAGTGACGGGACAACACAGGTAGTACAGACACAGTGACGGGACAACACAGGTAGTACAGACACAGTGACGGGACAACACAGGTAGTACAGTCACAGTGACGGGACAACACAGGTAATACAGACATAGTGACGGGACAACACAGGTAATACAGACATAGTGACGGGACAACACAGGTAGTACAGACACAGTGACGGGACAACACAGGTAGTACAGACACAGTGACGGGACAACACAGGTAGTACAGACACAGTGACGGGACAACACAGGTAGTACAGTCACAGTGACGGGACAACACAGGTAATACAGACATAGTGACGGGACAACACAGGTAATACAGACATAGTGACGGGACAACACAGGTAATACAGACATAGTGACGGGAAGTTAATGTAAGGCAGGGACAAATAACAAAATAAACTTATTTTAATTTGCCAGGTGTGGGTGATGATGAAACATTGATAAAAACATCTATCTTGTTACAATTTTAGATATTTACTGAAATGAAAAGTATGTGATGTCAACGTGGTCACCGCCTAATTATATTATATTAAGTTGTGTTTATGTATCACTATACCCCTGCGGTAACAACAAAATTAAGATGACTTGGTCAAACATAAAGGTCTTTTCACAAGGAATACATTTGTCAAATATGAAAGCCCTACCTCTTACGGTGTAATATTTATGAGCATTGTTAAAGGTTTTAACATACAAACAGACAAACAAACAGCTAAAAACAATATCCCCCGAACTTTCGATCCGGTGCCATAAAAATGATGCATCGTTGAGAATTATTTCTCATGTAGATATCTGTTTATGTTTTAAAATCTAGCATCAAAATATACTTATACTTACTATTGTGCCTTCCTCAAAGTAGGGCACGTGATCGCGCGCTGAATCTGAGCCTGGTTACCGCCATATACGGACAACCACGTGAAGGCGCCTCCAAACACACATGTCCAGAAACTGTGGCGGACGATCGGATCCGGATCAAAGCTAGAACAACCAAATTGGTCTGCTGAATATATTTAGGGTGAAATATCGACACTTACCAGATCACTGTTATAATTTATTCTTTCCTTATTGCTATAAAACAAGTGATATTCTGTAGATATTTCCCCTCACTATCGATAACTTACATTATAGTAAATGTAATTATACTTGATAAGAATGTGAAATACATTCAATGACAACCCTTTGTTTGCCGGGTCTATCGCCCCACGGACAGCCAGGGTCAATATCTGAGGCGAGGAATCTTCGTAGTGGCTAGTTGCTATTCAACTAAAAACATAGGGAGTCCCGTCGAATGCCGTTTGGGGAAAGTTTTGCCCATGGACAACAACACAATATTACAGATAGGTCCTTTTCCAGCTCCCTGAGAAAAACCGACAAGGATAAGAAGCTTGAAACCATCCACTTCAGATAGCTCATGTTCTTCACATTTTGCAACCCGATATGTTTTCTCAACGTGGCAATACCGTTTTACCTTGTATAGTGTAGCACTGTTTCCTTCCTACAATCCTGACAGCCGTGTACCTACACTATGTATTATCTGACCTTGACCATCCTGACAGCCGTGTACATACACTGTGTATTATCTGACTTTGACCATCCTGACAGCCGTGTACCTACACTATGTATTATCTGACCTTGGCCATCCTGACAGCCGTGTACCTACACTATGTATTCTCTGACCTTGACAATCCTGACAGCCGTGTACCTACACTATGTATTATCTGACTTTGACCATCCTGACAGCCGTGTACCTACACTATGTATTATCTGACCTTGGCCATCCTGACAGCCGTGTACTTACACTGTGTATTCTCTGACCTTGACCATCCTGACAGCCGTGTACTTACACTGTGTATTCTCTGACCTTGACCATCCTGACAGCCGTGTACATACACTGTGTATTCTCTGACCTTGACCATCCAGACAGCCGTGTACATACACTGTGTATTCTCTGACCTTGACCATCCTGACAGCCGTGTACTTACACTATGTATTCTCTGACTTTGACCATCCTGACAGCCGTGTACTTACACTATGTATTCTCTGACCTTGACCATCCTGGCAGCCGTGTACATACACTGTGTATTCTCTGACCTTGACCATCCTGACAGCCGTGTACTTACACTATCGTTATATTTTCTAGTTTTGACCAACCTTCCGATAGTTTCACTTACTCAGTAAACCAAATTCTCCCACTAGCACGAGATATTTCCCAAGCCTTGGCGAACCCCCCTACTTCTATCGAGCCCTGGATAAGGACAGCGAGCAGGCCAGCGATCATCATGGATACTTGGAAAGTGTCAGTCCAAAGCACAGCCTTCATCCCACCCTAATCAACAGAAAAGATTGAGAGTATAAAAGAGCGTGTGTATAAACAGTTTTTGTTCCGCGTTTTGCCTGAATGTTTGGTATCAAATGTTAATACAAATAAACAATAAAAGTAACTTGTACATGAAGTAACAAGTAAGTAAGATCTCTACAGTTTGACATTAGTAGATAGTTCATACATCTCACACAATCATCGGACTGAGCAGCCGAGATTCCCTTATAAAAGTATCTCCAACATCACTACATGTAGGTTCAATAACAACTGGCTGGCAACAAATAATCATCAATACTGTTTTTGCATCACTCCCCAGTAAGAACGGTCAGCTTGTTTCCCGTACTCACCATTGTAGTGTAGAAAATACAAACAAGTCCCACGGCCCAGATGGCGCCCCACAAGCTGAAGTCCGTCACTATGGAAACGGAAAAAAAGAATTGACATATGGCATTTGACAGTTACCAATGTATGATGTCAATTTGTTGACCGTTAAACCATTACGTATGAAGGCGTGTCATTAATGTCTTCAGGCGTATATTATATAGTTTTGTATTATATTGAAGGATAGCACATGATAGTTTTATCACCTACTGATGGTATGGATTTAAAAAAACTTATATAATATTTAAAAGTTTTAATTTTTATTGATTGTTAAACATTTAATACGTGATATACATACCCGCGTTGATAGCCAAAGACGGTGCGTAGAGTACAATGGACATGTACAGAACCTGTTAACAAATAATGGTGTGTGTTACAGCACAATGGACATGTACAGAACATGTATACAAATAATGGTGTGTGTTACAGCACAATGGACATGTACAGAACATGTATACAAATAATGGTGTGTGTTACAGCACAATGGACATGTACAGAACATGTATACAAATAATGGTGTGTGTTACAGCACAATGGACATGTACAGAACATGTACACAAATGATTGTGTGTGTTACAGCACAATGGACATGTACAGAACATGTACACAAATGATTGTGTGTTACAGCACAATGGACATGTACAGAACATGTACACAAATGATTGTGTGTGTTACAGAACAATGGACATGTACAGAACATGTATACAAATAATGGTGTGTGTTACAGCACAATGGACATGTACAGAACATGTACACAAATAATGGTGTGTGTTACAGCACAATGGACATGTACAGAACATGTACACAAATGATTGTGTGTGTTACAGCACAATGGACATGTACAGAACATGTACACAAATGATTGTGTGTTACAGCACAATGGACATGTACAGAACATGTACACAAATGATTGTGTGTGTTACAGAACAACGGACATGTACAGAACATGTACACAAATGATTGTGTGTGTTACAGCACAATGGACATGTACAGAACATGTACACAAATGATGGTGTGTGTTACAGCACAATGGACATGTACAGAACATGTACACAAATGATTGTGTGTGTTACAGCACAATGGACATGTACAGAACATGTACACAAATGATGGTGTGTGTTACAGCACAATGGACATGTACAGAACATGTACACAAATGATTGTGTGTTACAGCACAAAGGACATGTACAGAACATATACACAAATGATTGTGTGTGTTACAGCACAATGGACATGTACAGAACATGTACACAAATGATTGTGTGTGTTACGCCACAATGGACATGTACAGAACATGTACACAAATGATTGTGTGTTACAGCACAATGGACATGTACAGAACATGTACACAAATGATTGTGTGTTACAGCACAAAGGACATGTACAGAACATATACACAAATGATTGTGTGTGTTACAGCACAATGGACATGTACAGAACATGTACACAAATGATTGTGTGTGTTACGCCACAATGGACATGTACAGAACCTGTACACAAATGATTGTGTGTTACAGCACAATGGACATGTACAGAACATGTACACAAATGATTGTGTGTGTTACAGAACAATGGACATGTACAGAACATGCACACAAATGATTGTGTGTGTTACAGCACAATGGACATGTACAGAACATGTACACAAATGATTGTGTGTGTTACAGCACAATGGACATGTACAGAACCTGTACACAAATGATTGTGTGTTACAGCACAATGGACATGTACAGAACATGTACACAAATGATTGTGTGTGTTACAGCACAATGGACATGTACAGAACCTGTTAACCAATGATTGTGTGTTACAGCACAATTGACATGTACAGAACATGTACACAAATGATTGTGTGTGTTACAGCACAATGGACATGTACAGAACATGTACACAAATGATGGTGTGTGTTACAGCACAATGGACATGTACAGAACATGTACACAAATGATTGTGTGTGTTACAGCACAATGGACATATACAGAACATGTACACAAATGATGGTGTGTGTTACAGCACAAAGGACATGTACAGAACATGTACACAAATGATTGTGTGTTACAGCACAATGGACATGTACAGAACATGTACACAAATGATTGTGTGTGTTACAGAACAATGGACATGTACAGAACATGTACACAAATGATTGTGTGTGTTACAGCACAATGGACATGTACAGAACATGTACACAAATGATTGTGTGTGTTACAGAACAATGGACATGTACAGAACATGTACACAAATGATTGTGTGTGTTACAGAACAATGGACATGTACAGAACATGTACACAAATGATTGTGTGTGTTACAGCACAATGGACATGTACAGAACATGTACACAAATGATTGTGTGTGTTACAGCACAATGGACATGTACAGAACATGTACACAAATGATTGTGTGTGTTACAGCACAATGGACATGTACAGAACATGTACACAAATGATTGTGTGTGTTACAGCACAATGGACATATACAGAACATGTACACAAATGATGGTGTGTGTTACAGCACAATGGACATGTACAGAACATGTACACAAATGATTGTGTGTGTTACAGCACAATGGACATATGCAGAACATGTACACAAATGATGGTGTGTGTTACAGCACAATGGACATGTACAGAACATGTACACAAATGATTGTGTGTGTTACAGCACAATGGACATGTACAGAACATGTACACAAATGATTGTGTGTTACAGCACAAAGGACATGTACAGAACATATACACAAATGATTGTGTGTGTTACAGCACAATGGACATGTACAGAACCTGTACACAAATGATTGTGTGTTACAGCACAATGGACATGTACAGAACATGTACACAAATGATGGTGTGTGTTACAGCACAATGGACATGTACAGAACATGTACACAAATGATTGTGTGTGTTACAGCACAATGGACATGTACAGAACATGTACACAAATGATGGTGTGTGTTACAGCACAATGGACATGTACAGAACATGTATACAAATGATTGTGTGTGTTACAGCACAATGGACATGTACAGAACATGTACACAAATGATTGTGTGTGTTACAGCACAATGGACATATACAGAACATGTACACAAATGATGGTGTGTGTTACAGCACAATATACATGTACAGAACATGTACACAAATGATTGTGTGTTACAGCACAATGGACATGTACAGAACATGTACACAAATGATTGTGTGTTACAGCACAAAGGACATGTACAGAACATGTACACAAATGATTGTGTGTGTTACAGCAAAATGGACATGTACAGAACCTGTACACAAATGATTGTGTGTTACAGCACAAAGGACATGTACAGAACATGTACACAAATGATGGTGTGTGTTACAGCACAATGGACATGTACAGAACCTGTACACAAATGATTGTGTGTGTTACAGCACAATGGACATGTACAGAACATGTACACAAATGATGGTGTGTGTTACAGCACAATGGACATGTACAGAACATGTACACAAATGATTGTGTGTGTTACAGCACAATGGACATGTACATAACATGTAAACAAATGATTGTGTGTGTTACAGCACAATGGACATGTACAGAACATGTAAACAAGTGATTGTGTGTGTTACAGCACAATGGACATGTACAGAACATGTACACAAATGATTGTGTGTGTTACAGCACAATGGACATGTACAAAACATGTACACAAATGATTGTGTGTGTTACAGCACAATGGACATGTACAGAACATGTACACAAATGATGATGTTTATTACTGTACAATCGTATTTTGGCTGATTACGACCTTCTCGTGTTATCCCCTTGTCATCTTGTTGAGGTAAAAAGGTTACGACGTCACGAGATGGTTGTGATCATGTACAGAAGTGATTGACAAATCAGGAAGTGAATCAACCTAATACTCGCAGTATAAGTTACCTAAATGTTTGCGACAGAAAATGAAGCTAACCCGCCCAACTCAGAACTGACTTATGATTTAAACAGACATCTCAATATCAGGAAAATAAGGGGAAATGTGGAAAAAACAAAATGTAGAAGCACGCGAGTTCTATTTTCTGCTTTCGTCCCGTTAATGTAATTTCCTCAAAGTGGAAACCAAGTCAGTAACAACAGAACCACCAAACATCATAACGTAATACTAGTGGACAAATGATGATACTATCATTGATGTGGTTACTGGATATAAAATCAGCTGACATTGTTCATTGTGTTTTTGGGGTTAAAAATAGTTCAGGAATTAAGAGATATTAGCATCTATTTCATCTTACATATTTACCATTTGTATAATGTAGATAATTGAGGCAATGGTCCGTGTCACCAGGCCAAACCGTATACCCAGGTACTGCAAAAGACAGAAGGCATATGTAGATAAACGTTTACCCAAGTACTACAAAAGACAGACGATTTTTATGAAAAGTTTCAGTAGATACTGCATTCTGTCTGTTTTTTTATATATACTTTCCCAGTCCTCGTTATATTTTATCATTCACTGGCTGTGACCTTTGTTTTCTGTGATTTGTTTGTTACGTCTCCATTTTGTCTGTGATAAAACATTCTGGAAAAGTTCTAGAAAATCTAGGTTGTGAATTAAAGAGAATTAGATAAGATCACGTGACACGGCATTCCCAACCTAGATAAAATACACGATTATCATAAACAATATAGTTAGACTGGAATAAAGATTATGCAGATTACTGCCGGATTACTATACTAAATAAAGGTCAGATAAAAAATCAATAGCGTTTTAAATTATATCTTCATCGTTCATCATCACAGAGTTTTTAATTATACCTTCATCGTTCATCATCACAGAGTTTTTAATTATACCTTCATCGTTCATCATCACAGAGTTTTTAATTGATATCGTCATCGTTCATCATCACAGAGTTTTTAATTGACATCTTCATCGTTCAATATCACAGAGTTTTTAATTGATATCTTCATCATTCATCATCACAGAGTTTTTTATTGATATCTTCATCATTCATCATCACAGTTTTTAATTGATATCTTCATTATTCATCATCACAGTTTTTAATTGATATCTTCATCATCACAGAGTTTTTAATTGATATCGTTATCGTTCATCATCACAGAATTTTTAATTGATATCGTCATCATTCATCATCACAGAGTTTTTAATTGATATCTTAATCCTCACAGAGTTTTTAATTGATATCTTCATCATCACAGAGTTTTTAATTGACATCTTCATCGTTCAATATCACAGAGTTTTTAATTGATATCTTCATCATTCATCATCACAGAGTTTTTTATTGATATCTTCATCATTCATCATCACAGTTTTTAATTGATATCTTCATTATTCATCATCACAGTTTTTAATTGATATCTTCATCATCACAGAGTTTTTAATTGATATCGTTATCGTTCATCATCACAGAATTTTTAATTGATATCGTCATCATTCATCATCACAGAGTTTTTAATTGATATCTTCATCCTCACAGAGTTTTTAATTGATATCTTCATCATCACAGAGTTTTTAATTGATATCTTCATCGTTCATCATCACAGTTTTTAATTAATACCCTCATCATTCATCATCACAGATAAAAATAATCGATTCCTCTATTCACACCAGTTTTCATTGATGCATACGGTATCTGGTTTACCGTTCACAACGTTATCACAGAATCATGTCGAGATTTCTGATCCTACAGGACTTAACTAATTATTATTGACAGAAAACCAAATTAACGAAAAACATGGTTATAAGATATACGATTAACGATAGATCAAAATAGGACCCCTTGGGTGTCATTCTGGTCCCCTTAAGACGGACCCTGTTCAGCTATCTGATGTTGACGTGACTACCTTGGAGTTCGTCATTCTAAAATGTTGATAAAAATCTTATGCATTTTTGAAAGACCTCGACCAAGTGAACCAGGAAGGACAGCAACATACGACCTTCTTGTGAATAGGGACAAAATCACCCGTTTATCAGCAGGTCTTGTAGTTGGGTAAGTAAACATCAAGTAACGAAGGCTGTATCCTTCCCGAAATAACCAGGTTGAAATACAACACTATTTTTCTCCGTTGATTGAGCACAGAGCTTGTCTATCTATGGTACCTATTAATACACAAAAGTGATTGAGCACAGAGCTTGTCTATCTATGATACCTATTAATACACAAAAGTTATTGAGCACAGAGCTTGTCTATCTATGATACCTATTAATACACAAAAGTTATTGAGCACAGAGCTTGCCTATCTATGATACCTATTAATACACAGAAGTTATTGAGCACAGAGCTTGTCTATCTATGTTACCTATTAATACACAAAAGTTGTTGAGCACATAGGTTGTCTATCTGTAATACCTATTAATACACAAAAGTTATTGAGCACATAGCTGGTCTATCTGGGATACGTATTTATACACAGAAATTATTGAGCACATAGCTTGTCTATCTGTGATACGTATTTATACACAGAAGTTATTGAGCACAGACCTATCTGGTACAACACGAGTCGATAAGCACACATCGTTTTATACTGAAATGTCTTAATATAGTCACATTTGATTGGCACATGAAATAAAAATTAAAGTCAATGATGTTATCATCAAGAAGATTAATTATACATTGAAAACAGCTGTTACTTTTGTCTTATGTAATGTCGATATATGTATGTAACAAAAGGTTTCCACTAACTTCACTCTACTTCATACTGCAATGTGTTATGTCGTATTGTAAATAACCGGGTACCCCAGAGTCTGAACTGTAAAGAGGGTCAAACGTAACACGATATTACAGTGTCTAAAAGACAGGAAATTGACACGCGTCCTTGATACACAAGAGTATGAACTATTAGAAGTGTCATTGACGGGTCGAATTTACAATATATTACACAGTTTCCAAAAGACAGGAAATTCGCAAATGTCCTTGATCCGCTGATTTGCATCATTATTGATCGACATTTAATTTTTTTTTTTGATAAGTTACCTGGTCCTTTTTGGCAGCTCGGTTCAGGGAGCTGGAGTGAGTAATGAATACTGATTGGTTACACTGTGACGGAATCCAATTCTTGAAAACGATACTTGTCTAATATACTCGACAAAAAAAGAAAGGTTAACATGTTTCCTTGGCGAATACCTGTAAATGAGTGAAAACAAAATGACGTTTGTGCAATATTAGAAAATGGTAATGTTTTACATTACAAAATCCAAGGGGGTTACCAAAATCATTCAAGCGTGAAAGTCTGTATTAGCGAAAGAGCTGCACGAGGTTTTCTTCGACTAACTTGTATCTTCGCTTGAATTTCATAAACATTCAAACTGACAACTGTTCCTTAGATCTTTGGGACTTAGAAATCACCGAATCTTGCTATCTATCAACTTTATCATTATGCCCCGGCTGTCACAAGTACAGAGAGAAAGGGCTGTAGGCATGATCCAGACTGGGGAGTCTCGCCGTCGAGTTGCACGGCATTTTGGTTGCAGTGTTAAGACAATTTGCCAGTTGGTAAGTCGTTTAAACCAAACTGGGTCAACATCCGATCGTCCCCGAAGCGGCCGACCCCGTAAAACGACCGCCAGAGATGACCGTCGTATACGATTGATACACTTGCGCAATCGATTCGTAACCGCAGTAGAGACTACAAGGACATTGTTTGGGCGTCGTGTGTCTCCCCAAACAGTCCGCAACAGGTTGAGGGCCTACCAATTGAAAGCGCGGCGTCCCTAAACTGGACCCAATTTGTTGCGACGTCACCGTAATAATCGGCGTAACTGGACCCGTGTTCACCGTCGTTGGGCCTTACGACAATGGAACAATGTTCCGTTTTCAGATGAGTCAAGGTTTTGTCTGCAACACGGTGACGGAAGGCGCAGCGTGTGGAGGCGACGAGGGGAGCGTTTTGCGAACTGCTGCGTCGCAGAACGGGACCGCTTTGGCGGCGGAAGTGTAATGGTTTGGGGTGGTATTTGTGGGGGGACTCGTACCAGGCTTGTTGTGTTAAATGGCAATTTAACCGGCATTCGATATCGGGACGAAATTTTAAGACCAATGGTTCTGCCATTCTTAAGACGCCATGGCGTTGGCGCCATTTTTCAACAGGATAACGCACCAGCGCACACCAGTCGCGTCAGCAGAACGTTCTTGCAGCATAATAGCGTACTGTTGTTAGATTGGCCATCTAAATCATCTGATTTGTCACCGATTGAGCATGTCTGGGACGTTCTTGGGCGACGCGTGAGAGTACGTCAAAATCAGCCGTCAAACTTGCAGGAGCTAGACCAAGCCTTGGTCGCTGAATGGAACAACATCTCTCCTCGAATTATCCGCCGGTTTACGAGTTCCATGCGACGACGCTGCAATGCTATTTACTTCGCAAACGGTGGCCATACTCGTTACTAATGGTGTTACCTTTGAAATTGACCCCAACGTCCTTTACAGTCGAATAAAATCGACTGAACGCAAAGTTTTATAATGGACCATGACTGCAGTTTTATCAGAATCGATCAATTACTTTATTCGTACATGATTGGTAAGGAATTATGAAGGGATTAATTAATTAATCACATAATAAAGTAGTTTTATCTTATTTTTTTTGTTTAGTGTATAGTAGCACGGGAAATATTAAGTTATTTATGGAAAATACTTGCCTGGTATGCACTGGTAATCCTCAGGCGAAAGAAAACAGGGATATATATGTGAGCGGCAAGAGCGATGGTGAAGAAGTAGCCAAGTCCAATCCACCAGTATATAGTCGTGTAGTTGTACATCTCGGCTGGCGTCCCTAGTAACGTAATGGCGGACATGAAACTGGCCAGGAGGGACAAGGCCACGGGGATGGCGTTCATGTTCCCTCCCGCCAAAAGGTACTCTTTTGTGTTTCTTCTCTTTCGGTCTTTGATGGCGTAAAATAGCCCGATTCCAGCACATATACATAGTAAGGCACCAAATAGTACGTAATCCACAATATGGAAAGTATTCCGCACACCGGTCTGAAAACTATATTGGCGCGTCATGGTTAAAACTGAAAATGTGTTCCCTTCAGTAATAAGATTGTCGTTATACCACCAGACTTTTCACCTTTCGTTAGTAAGTTGTCGATAACACGAACAACGCCTTGTGTGGTTGTACAAATTTTATAAACAGGACCTACGACTTGATGGATGGAGCGTCAGTCACTGACGTCATACCATGACAGAAATCGTATTTACCAGCTATTGTTATTCCTGAGAGTGATCTGGTCATCTGTACTCAACCAGCTAAGATGTCGCACTTAGTCCACGCGTGGTTTTTGTCAAATCGGGATGAAATGTTCATGAACTCCTCGCGATACGCTCCTATCCTATTGCCCTTCCTCGTTGTACGTCAAATCTTTTTAATGTTTTCTGTCGTGGCGTAGGTAATCATATGGATCTTAAATTATTCACTGTCAGTTTAAATGATAAATTTCCCCAATAGCAGTGATGGAAGGATGTGGCTTTGTGTGTCTCCATCTGATCGAGGGCGGATCAAGTTTTCTAGCTTCTTACCTGTACCGTCAGCTACACAGGTACATTCATAATTGGTAGTGAAGAAGATGTTTTGTATACCAATGGCTGTGTGCAACGACATATAATTGGTATGATTTACGGGCCTTCCCAATACTGGTGAAACGTACAATAATTGGTATGGAGTTTAGGGGGTGAAACGTACATTAATTGGTATGGTGTTTAGGGGTTGAAACGTACAATAATTGGTATGGTGTTAAGGGGGTGAAACGTACAATAATTGGTATGTTTAGGAGGTGAAACGTACAATAATTGGTATGGTGTTTAGGAGGTGAAACGTACAATAATTGGTATGTTTAGGGGGTGAAACGTACAATAATTGGTATGGAGTTTAGGGGGTGAAACGTACAATAATTGGTATGGTGTTTAGGGGGTGAAACGTACAATAATTGGTATGGTGTTTAGGAGGTGAAACGTACAATAATTGGTATGGTGTTTAGGGGGTGAAACGTACAATAATTGGTATGGTGTTTAGGGGGTGAAACGTACATTAATTGGTATGTGTAGGAGGTGAAACGTACAATAATTGGTATGGTTATTTAGGGGGTGAAACGTACAATAATTGGTATGGTGTTTAGGAGGTGAAACGTACAATAATTGGTATGGTGTTTAGGGGGTGAAACGTACAATAATTGGTATGGTGTTTAGGAGGTGAAACGTACAATAATTGGTATGCTTAGGAGGTGAAACGTACAATAATTGGTATGTTTAGGAGGTAAAACGTACAATAATTGGTATGGAGTTTAGGAGGTGAAACGTACAATAATTGGTATGGTGTTAAGGGGGTGAAACGTACAATAATTGGTATGGAGTTTAGGGGGTGAAACGTACATTAATTGGTATGGAGTTTAGGAGGTGAAACGTACAATAATTGGTATGGAGTTTAGGAGGTGAAACGTACAATAATTGGTATGGTGTTAAGGGGGTGAAACGTACAATAATTGGTATGTTTAGGGGGTAAAATGTACAATAATTGGTATGGTGGTTAGGAGGTGAAACGTACATTAATTGTGAAACGTACAATAATTGGTATGGTGTTTAGGGGGTGAAACGTACATTAATTGGTATGTTTAGGAGGTGAAACGTACAATAATTGGTATGTTTAGGAGGTGAAACGTACAATAATTGGTATGTTTAGGAGGTGAAACGTACAATAATTGGTATGGTGTTTAGGAGGTGAAACGTACAATAATTGTGGTGTTTAACGTACAATAATTGGTATGATGTTTAGGGGGTGAAACGTACAATAATTGGTATGGGTTTAGGAGGTGAAATGTTTAGGGGGTGAAACGTACAATAATTGGTATGGAGTTTAGGGGGTGAAACGTACAATAATTGGTATGTTTAGGGGGTGAAACGTACAATAATTGGTATGTTTAGGAGGTGAAACGTACAATAATTGGTATGGTGTTTAGGAGGTGAAACGTACAATAATTGAAGGTGGTGAAACGTACAATAATTGGTATGGTGTTTAGGAGGGTGTTTAGGGGGTGAAACGTACAATAATTGGTATGGTGTTTAGGAGGTGAAACGTACATTAATTGGTATGGTGTTAAGGGGGTGAAACGTACAATAATTGGTATGGTGTTTAGGGGGTGAAGCGTACAATAATTGGTATGTTTAGGAGGTGAAACGTACAATAATTGGTATGTTTAGGAGGTGAAACGTACAATAATTGGTATGGTGTTTAGGGGGTGAAACGTACAATAATTGGTATGTTTAGGAGGTGAAACGTACATTAATTGGTATGGTGTTTAGGGGGTGAAACGTACAATAATTGGTATGGTGTTTAGGAGGTGAAACGTACAATAATTGGTATGGTGTTTAGGAGGTGAAACGTACAATAATTGGTATGGTGTTTAGGAGGTGAAACGTACAATAATTGGTAATTTGGTATGGTGTTAGGGGTGAAACGTACAATAATTGGTATGGTGTTTAGGAAACGGTATGAAACGTACAATAATTGGTATGGTGTTACAGGTATGGGAGGTGAAACGTACAATAATTGGTATGGTGTTTAGGAGGTGAAACGTACAATAATTGGTATGGTGTTTAGGAGGTGAAACGTACAATAATTGGTATGGTGTTTAGGGGGTGAAACGTACAATAATTGGTATGGTGTTTAGGAGGTGAAACGTACAATAATTGGTATGGTGTTTAGGAGGTGAAACGTACAATAATTGGTATGGTGTTTAGGAGGTGAAACGTACAATAATTGGTATGGTGTTTAGGGGGTGAAACGTACAATAATTGGTATGGTGTTTAGGAGGTGAAACGTAAATAATTGGTATGGTGTTAGGGGGTGAAACACAATAATTGGTATGGTGTTTAGGAGGTGAAACGTACAATAATTGGTATGGTGTTTAGGGGGTGAAACGTACAATAATTGGTATGGTGTTTAGGGGGTGAAACGTACAATAATTGGTATGGTGTTAAGGGGGTGAAACGTACAATAATTGGTATGGTGTTTAGGGGGTGAAACGTACAATAATTGGTATGTTTAGGGGGTGAAACGTACAATAATTGGTATGGTGTTTAGGAGGTGAAACGTACAATAATTGGTATGTTTAGGAGGTGAAACGTACAATAATTGGTATGGAGTTTAGGAGGTGAAACGTACAATAATTGGTATGGTGTTAAGGGGGTGAAACGTACAATAATTGGTATGGTGTTTAGGGGGTGAAACGTACAATAATTGGTATGTTTAGGAGGTGAAACGTACAATAATTGGTATGGTGTTTAGGAGGTGAAACGTACAATAATTGGTATGTTTAGGAGGTGAAACGTACAATAATTGGTATGGTGTTTAGGAGGTGAAACGTACAATAATTGGTATGGAGTTTAGGAGGTGAAACGTACAATAATTGGTATGTTTAGGAGGTGAAACGTACAATAATTGGTATGGGAGGTGTTAATTGGTAGGGGGTGAAACGTACAATAATTGGTATGGTGGTAATTGGTATGGGGGGTGAAACGTTAATTGGTATGGTGAAACGTACAATAATTGGTATGGTGTTTAGGGGGTGAAACGTACAATAATTGGTATGGTGTTTAGGAGGTGAAACGTACAATAATTGGTATGTTTAGGAGGTGAAACGTACAATAATTGGTATGGTGTTAAGGGGGTGAAACGTACATTAATTGGTATGTTTAGGAGGTGAAACGTACAATAATTGGTATGGTGTTTAGGGGGTGAAACGTACAATAATTGGTATGGTGTTAAGGGGGTGAAACGTACAATAATTGGTATGCTTTGGAGGTGAAACGTACAATAATTGGTATGGTGTTTAGGGGGTGAAACGTACAATAATTGGTATGGTGTTTAGGAGGTGAAACGTACAATAATTGGTATGGTGTTTAGGGGGTGAAACGTACAATAATTGGTATGTTTAGGGTATGGTGTTTAGGAGGTGAAACGTACAATAATTGGTATGGTGTTTAGGAGGTGAAACGTACAATAATTGGTATGTTTAGGGGGTGAAACGTACAATAATTGGTATGGTGTTTAGGAGGTGAAACGTACAATAATTGGTATGTTTAGGAGGTGAAACGTACAATAATTGGTATGGTGTTTAGGAGGTGAAACGTACAATAATTGGTATGTTTAGGAGGTAAAACGTACAATAATTGGTATGTTTAGGGGGTGAAAGTCAATAGGTATGTTTAGGGGGTGAAACAATTTGGTATGTTTGGTAACACTTTTAAAGATAATAATTGGTATGGTGTTTAGGGGTGAAACGTACAATAATTGGTATGGTTTTTCAAAAACGTACAATAATTGGTATGGTGTTTAGGGGTGAAACGTACAATAATTGGTATGGAGAGGATGATCTGGTTTCTGTGAAATCTGCATAAGATCTTCAAACTTAGCGCAAGTTTACTGTAATGTTGATAACACTCCTTAAACAGAGAACAAAGACACCACGTTTGTATTTCTGAATCCAAGACAATTTTTTCCGGATCTCTGCTACTGTACGGTTCAACTGTATAAAGGAGAGTATTTAATAATTCATTAGCTACCTTTGAGTTCAAATGTCATTCAAAATCAGATTACCTGAGCCCGGAGGAAAGGGAGACCGGAAACCGGACTCCTAGCCTGAAGCCCCAAACCCTGGGGAGAAACCCTGCACTAGGAAATCTGGAGTGTCACTAATCCCCGTAGTCACAGACAATCCTGACAAAAAGTCTGTGGCCCCTGACCCTATACCCGAAGGCACAGGTCCGGAGTCAAAGCGGCCCCCACCAACGACGCCACATGGCGCGCTGAGGTCCCTGAAGGAATCAGAGACCTCGACCGGAAGTCCATTTCCGACGGTAACACCGCCGGCTATCGAGAGCTACCGGCCAATTCGACCCTTGACTGCGTTTGTCTTATTTTGGTGTTTTATTGTATTTACATACCCGTATGTAACAGTAGGAATAACAAACTACAAAAGACATCTGTAACAAAATTGTGTCTTGTGAAACTAATTCTGACTAAAAAACCAACATTCTATCCCACTTCGAATTATTACACAAAGCAATTTAAAGAATTGTTTATGTATACTGATGATAGACTGTTCAATGTCGTGAACACGTGATTAATATCACGTGAAGATCAGCATTAAGGAGAACACATAACGTTATGATTCTACTTCCGTAGTATTTTGATGTTGGTAGTGTTCATTATACTTTGAATCTGTTTGTTTTGAACCAAAGATATTTATCTTTGTGTGGTCGTTTCCTTTAAGTATAGCTGATAAAATTTTATGATTTGATGTTCGGAATTCTAAAATAGACTGAAGCAATAAAGTGACATTAGGTGGTAGTATACAGTCGTTATAAATGCACTTTGGGTGACGGATAAAAAAAATGTCGCCCATGGATTTTTTATATGTCACGCAAATTGTATTTATATCGACTGTTTACTACAATCTGGAGACAGACCAGTACCTAAATTTACATTCATATATAAATCCCGCCACCTGAAAAAGAAATGCATTTTAAATTCCATTGCTTACAATACCGACGTCAGCAAGTTCAAATCCAACAGCAGCCGACATGATAACGTTCCTCGTATTATTA